GGCCAACTATGTGAGCCTGAGTTGAACTGGGGCGGGGGCTGCCCCTCCTCCCCCGGTCCCATGGCCTGCTCCAACCCCCTCACATCCCCACCTCACCCTTAGGATCCCCTGGCCAGCTATGACTTCAACGACTATGACCCAGACCCCCAACCACGATACACGCCCAGTGATGAGAACCGGTGAGCCTGGGGGTCTGGGGGTGGCCCTTGTGCCCTGTGAGGGCCAGGTGAGCTGTGACAGGCACTCCTCTCTGCCCTGACACCAGGCACGGGACCCGCTGTGCTGGGGAAGTAGCAGCCATAGCTAACAACAGGTTCTGTGGTACAGGCGTCGCCTACAACGCCCGAATTGGAGGTACTCCAATGCGCCAAGGATAGGGGCTGGATGAGGTGGCACTGGGTGGCTGATAACACCAGGGAGATTTGGCAGATCAACCAGGGGAGGAAACTTCTTGGTGCCCTCGCCTTTGTTGCTTAGACTCAGGGTGTGGAGAGCTGAGCCTGCACAAATGCCTCCACCCCCAGGAGCAGAGAGAGGGGCTGGCTAGGGTGTTTGGAGCTGGCCTGGATGGGTGAGGGTGCCGGCAGGGCTGTCTGCAGAGGACCGACAGCTGCCTGTGCAGGCGTGCGCATGCTGGATGGCACCATTACTGATGTCATTGAGGCCCAGTCACTGAGCCTGCAGCCGCAGCACATCCACATCTACAGTGCCAGCTGGGGCCCTGAGGACGATGGCCGAACGGTGGACGGTCCAGGCATCCTCACCCGAGAAGCTTTCAGGCGTGGCGTCACCAAAGTGAGCAGGATCTAGGGTTTTGGAGGGCCTGTGCCTGCATGAAAGGCTGACACCCCCATCCCCTGTCCTGTCCCCATCTGCAGGGCCGAGGTGGGCTAGGCACGCTCTTCATCTGGGCGTCTGGCAATGGCGGCCTGCACTATGACAACTGCAACTGTGACGGCTACACCAACAGCATCCACACTCTCTCTGTGGGCAGCACCACCCAGCAGGGCCATGTGCCTTGGTACAGCGAAGCCTGCGCCTCCACTCTCACCACCACCTACAGCAGTGGCCTTGTCACCGACCCCCAAATTGTGAGTGGACCCCTTCACCATGCTCACTCTGTCTGGCCCAGCCTGGTCCCCCCACCTTCCCTCTTGTCTCCTCACCTTCCCTCCAGTCCCTATGTCTTCCCTCCTATCCTCCCAACTTCCCTCCAGCCCCCTCTACCCCAGTCCCTGCCTTCCCTCCTATCCCCCTCCATCCCTCACCTTCTCTCCTATTCCCCAACCTTCCCTCCTGGGTCCCCATCCTCCCTCCTGTCCCCTCACATTCTTTCCTTTCCCTTCTGTTCCCTTATCTTCCTTCCTCTCAGGGATTGCTCCTGCAGTGCTGGAACATAGACATGGGTCCCAGGCCCCATCCCACTGTTGCCCCTTCACACACCCTGGCCTGTGCTTCTGGGGCGTGGACCTGGGCAGTGCTCAGGCCCCTTGTCTGGTGTAATGCTCTGCAGTGCCTTCTTGAGTCCCTGGTTCCATGTGAACAAGGGCTGGGTTTTCATGTGCACCGGGCCCCCGAACTCCCATCTCTGCCCCCAGGTTACCACGGACCTGTACCACCAGTGCACTGACAAGCATACAGGCACCTCGGCCTCTGCCCCACTGGCTGCAGGCATAATCGCTCTGGCTCTGGAGGCCAAGTAGGTGACAGTGGGGACCCTACTACCACCCTGACCCCCCAGTTGTGGCCCCAGCTTACTCCCTCACCTCCCCCAGCCCGTTCTTGACATGGAGGGACATGCAGCACTTGGTGGTTCGTGCATCCAGGCAGGCACACCTTCAGGCTGAGGACTGGAGGACCAATGGCGTGGGGCGCCAAGGTACTGCATGGTCCGGTGGGGGTGGGGACACCATGCCCACAGAGTGAGTGACGGCCCCCCTCCGCACAGTGAGCCACCACTATGGCTATGGGTTGCTGGATGCTGGGCTGCTGGTAGACTTGGCTCGCACATGGCTGCCCACACAGCCCCAGAAGAAATGTGCCATTCGAGTCCTCCACAAACCCACGTGAGCACTCTCCTCGGTCCCAGCCACTGTGCATTACCTGCCACCTCCCCATTCCTCCGACAACACCGTCACATCCCCAGCCCTCTCCCACACCTGTCATTAACACCCAGGCAGACACTTGGGAGGCAGGCCCTGAGGCCTCAGTAAATCCTGGAGGTGGGCCCCATGATCTGAGCCCAGACCCTGCCTGCTGGCCGGCCGCCCATCCCCCCCAGCAGGCCAGCAGGAGGGGCCCTGATGCCCCATGCCACCCATAGCCCCATCCTGGCGCTGATGCACATGAGAAAGAAAGTGTCGGCCTGTGCTGGCCGTGCCAACTACATCCGCTCACTGGAGCATGTGCAGGTGCAGCTGTCACTGTCCTACAGCCGCCGGGGGGACCTGGAGATCTCGCTCACCAGCCCCATGGGCACCCGCTCCACACTTGTGGCCATCAGGTCAGGGTCGGGGGACCTACCCTATGGGTCCACACAGGGAGGGACAAGTGCACTTTGGAGTCAGGCGTGGCCTGCGCAGGGGTGACCAGTCCTGTGAGGGCCACTTCTGCAGGCAGCACTTGGCATTGCAGTCAGACACTTGCTGTGGCTCAGTGGCCCCTTCATGACTATAGTCATCCACCCTTTTACCCCACCCCACCTGTCTGTCCCAGACCATTCGACGTCAGCGGCCAAGGCTATAACAAGTGGATCTTTATGTCCACTCACTTCTGGGATGAGGACCCGCAGGGCTTGTGGACCCTGGGCCTGGAGAACAAGGGCTACTATTTCAACACGGGTGAGAGGCAGGCACAGGCTGGACACTCTGAGGCCTGCCTGAATTACCCCACTGCAGTGGGGCTCCCAGTGATCTTGCATAGTAGAAATAGGCAATCAGTTATCATCCCACAATGGCTGCTGGGGGCCAAGGCACCATCTGAGTCTGCAGCTTCAGGGTGGGGTGGGGATAACTGGGGAGTGGGGTCCAAAATGGCAGGATTAGACCACCAATAGTTTCTTCCCCTTATCCCTGTGCTCACCATGACCCCTGCCCAGGGACGCTGTACCGCTACACACTGCTGCTCTATGGGACAGCTGAGGATATGACAGTGCGGCCTCCAGGCCCCCAGGTGACCAGCAGCGCGTGTGTGCAGCGGGACACAGAGGGGCTGTGCCAGGGTGAGTGCCCAGTGAGGCATGGCCCTGCTGGCAGTGTGCGTGTGCGGCCCAGGAAGGGTAGGTGGACCAGGGATGTATACCTCAGCCTCACCTCCATGTCCATATCCCCGTGCAGAATGCCACAATCCTGCCTACATCCTGGGCCACCTCTGCCTCTCCCACTGCCCATCGCAGTACTTCAATTACACCCAGAAGGCAATGACTACTGGGTCTGGGTGCCCAGTCACAGTCATACCCACCCTGCATGTGTGCCTCAGCTGCCACTTCTGCTACACCAGCTATGGCAGCTCCTTGCTCAACTGCATCGCCTGCTGCCCACCATACATACTGGATGAGCACGGGGGCTCCTGCTCAGGGCCTGTTGCCCACAAAGGCCACCCCCCAGCCCACTGGAACAACCCATCACTGCCACAGAGGCCACAGCCCTGCTGATGGTGGCCTTTGGGAACCCCCTCCTCTGTAGCATCCTCTCCATGGGCTGCCTGCTCCCCTGTGTAGCCCCCAACCCAGTGCTGGAAGCCACTCCCATCACCAACTGCTGGCTGGACCCCGGAGACATCCCACCTTGGCTTACGTCTCTGGTGGGGACTACTGCCCTGCTCCCTAGTTCCAGATCAGTGTGTGTATGTTTGGGATGACGGTGGGGTGGGATTAGGCAGAGGCCAGGCCACAATGGTGACCAACATCCCTTTTCTGCCCCCAGAATCTGGGGGGAGGGGGAGGGAGAGCCAGTGACACTATCCAGAGTCTCAGGGACCATGTCTGACCTCAGAGTTTGCAATAAAGTCTTAATAGGAGGTGCCAAGTCTCTGGTATCCTTTGGGGCACACCCAGGCCCCCCAGCCCCCAGCCATGGTTGGGTGTCCCCTGTGCCCTCTTTGAAGATCACCTTCCCTGGCCATCAGCCCCTGGGGGACCCAGCAACCACAGAGAATAGAGAGTCAGTCTGGGGCCCAGAGACCCCAGCTGTGGGGGTGGGAATGGGTGGGGTTTCTAGTGATACCCACATGCTTTGAGTGCCAAGCTTCTAGGAACCAGCCCACATTCCCCCTTCCATCTGGTTGACACAACTAGCAGAAGAGGGTCTACGAGCTTCCAATAATTACACTCCATTTCCTGAAGGTCATCGGGAAGCTGAGGGAATTATGGGCTGGAGGTACATTGCTCTCATCCCCCTACGGCCTCAACTTCCCCATTTGTAAAGTGGGTCTCCCACCTCTCTGGAACAGAAAGAGGATCTTGAGGTGTGGGGTGAGAAAAGGGGTACCGAGTGAGCTATTAAATGCCCCTCCTTTATCCTCACACACACCAATGGGGTGGGGACACATTTGTCCCAATTTTCAGAGCGGGGAGGGGCTTCCATGAGGAAGTGAAAAGGGGGCCTATGCCCTCGACTATGGGGCTTCACTCAGGCTCTAAGGGGCAGGTCTCGCCTGTTGTAGGAGCCCATTGGCCCCAGAAACCACCCCCTTTTGTGGCACTGGGAACCTGGGAATTTGTTCTGCTACTGGGCTCAGATGCCCAACTGTAGGCCTTGAAGGGAAGAAGGCTCTGTTGAGGGCTTTGCAGCTGGGCAGTGAGAGGCTGATGCTTCAGCACTTGGGACCAGACACTGTCGTAGACCCCTGAGCTAAATTTGTCTGGAGGAGGAGACATGGGTGCCCAGATGGGCCCACCAGAAGTGGGTGGCCAGCAGGGGAGGAGAGAGCCTCATCTCCCTCCCTCATCCTCTCTAGCTGCCGTCCTAGTCGTGCCCACACACCCAGAATCTTACTGCACTCAGTCCCTCTCTCTGGATTGAGGGCTGAAGGTAAGCCCAGCCCTGGCAGGGCCAGTCTGTGTGCCCAGGGGCACCTGGCTTCTCTCTCAGAGCCTCTGTAGCCTCGCCTGTGCCACAGCACCAAGAGTACCTCTCTCATCAAATGCAAGGATCACAAGAGGCAGTTTTCCTGCCTGGCACACAGTAAGCACCCAAAATACACCAACTTGGGGCAGCCGTTGGGCAGTTCCACAGACATTAAACACAGTTACCAAATGAACCAGCAATTCCGCTTGCAGGTACATAGCCAGGAAAACGGAAGTCCACACACAGACCTGTGTAAGCGTGTTCACAACGGCCAAAAGATGGAAACAACCCAAGTGTCCATCAGCAGATGAACAGATAAACACATGGTCTCTTCACACCCTGGAACATTACTCAACCCTGAAAATGAGTGAAGCAGAGACACTCTCACTACAACACGGGTGGACTTTGGAACCATGATGTTCAAAGGTAAGAGAAGCCAGACACCCAAGGCCACATAGTCTGTGATTCCATTTATGTGAAATATCCAGAACAGGCAAATCCACAGAGACAGGAAATGGGTTAGTGGAGGGTAGAGGGGAGTGACTGCTAACAGGCTTCGTTTTGGGGTGATGCAAACGTTCTAGAATTAGACTGTGGTAATGGTTGCACAAATATATATATATATATATATATATATATTCGCAAACCACAGAATTGTATACTTTAAACAAGTGGACTTTATGGCATGTAATTTACATTCAATAAAGCTGTTTAAAAAATACAAAAATCGCCCTATGCTCTGAGCCTGTCTATTCTAGCGGATCCAGCACCACCCCGAGGGGAGGGGGTTTTAGAGATCAGAGTGGAGACCTGGACCCAGATCCAGCAGGAGAGTTGCTGGCGCATGTCCTGCGTCCCTGGCCACCTCGCTGGTAATTGGCATAGCTAGCATTCACTGAAGGCCCCTGTGCACAGGGCCTCCTTGTGTGGATAGGAACTTTGTTCTCAGGACAGCCACGTGGGTAGGGGGTTGTGTCCCCCTTTTGCAGAAAACTGGGCCTCGGACGCTTTGTTATGCAAGGAGAGAAGCCTGGATTGGACCCCACACCCACCCCTTGAGTTTCCAGTCCGGAGAGGTTGAGGTCGCGTGTTCTCTGATTTTGGTCCAGCTGCAGCTCCTTTCGGATCACACCAAGTCGCTCGCGGGCGCGGCCTCTTTAAGAGGGGGCGTGACCTCATGACGAGCGGGGGGGCCGGAGGAGGAGGAGACCGGAAGTTCGCCTCAGGACTTGGAGGGCGGGGCCACCCTCCGACCGGAAGCAGAACTGTCTGTGCTGAGCCGCTCTCAGCTCCGGTGCGTGCCCAGGTGAGGAGAGGTAGGCACTGTTTCAGTAGGGAAACTGAGGCAGAGGTGGAGCTAGACACCGAAGGGGCGGGGCGATCCAGGAGGGGCGGGGCCGGACGAGTGTGTAGGTAGGTACTCGCCGGACAGTTGGAACAGACTAGGGGCAAAGGCGGCGAGGTGGACGCCCTCGTGACGCTCCGTTCTCTCGCCTGCAGGGATGGGCTCGAAGGCCAAGAAGCGCGTGGTGCTGCCCACTCGCCCGGCGCCCCCCACGACGGAGCAGATCCTGGAGGACGTGCGGGGGGCGCCCGCCGAGGACCCAGTCTTCACTGCCCTGGCCCCGGAAGGTAGGGGGAGCCCAGATGCGCGGCGGGTGGGAGGGTGGGTGTAGGAGGTCCGTTGAAACCGTGGAATTTATTTTTATTTTTTAAAAAATATATTTCTATTGATTTCAGAGAGGAAGGGAGAGGGAGAGAGAAAGAAATATCAATGATGAGAGAGAACCACCGATCGGCTGCCTCCTGCATACCCCCAACTGGGGATCGAACCAGCAACCCGGGCATGTGCCCTTGACCGAATCGAACCCAAGACTCTTCAGTCCGCAGGCCGACGCTCTATCCACTGAGCCACACCCGCTAGGGCGAAACCGTGGGATTTAGAGCAGACTGTGGCATGATCCTTACCCTCTGGAGCCCTCTCTTCTGATTGTAAAGTGGGGCGCGTCTTCAGAAGGGCATCCCAGGCCTGGGTCCGCAGCCAGATCCTGCCCACCGCCTGTTCTGGTAAGGCCAGGAAGCTAAGATTGGCGCTTACGCTTTTGAAGAGACTGTTTTGTGATAAGTGTAAATGGTACGAAGTTCAGATTTGTGTCGGTAAAGTTCTGTTGGTGCACAGCCATGCCTGTTTGTGGATGAATGAACCTGGCTGCTTTCAGGACATAATGGCAGAATTATCAGGACAGACGGACTGGCTCTGCAAAGACAAAACTATGTATTTGTGGGAAAAGTCCTCAGTCCCTTGTGGAGATTATAGCAGGTCAGTGACTAATGGCTTTGGCCTACAGTTGTTGGGTGAATTGTGTACAGGTCCATGAAGTTTGCCTATTCATTCAACAAACCTTCATTAAAAACCTATTATGGCCCTGGCCAGTGTATTTCAGTGGTTAGAGCTTCGGCCCGTGCACCAAAGGGTCTTGGGTTCGATTCCCAGTTAAGGCCACGTACCTTGGTTTCAGGTTCAATCCCCAGCCCCAGTTGGGCGCGTGCAGGAGGAAACGAATCGATGTGTCTCTCTCGCATCAATGTTTCTCTCTCTCTCCCCTGTCTCCCCCTCACCTCCCTTCCACTCTCTCTAAAAAATCCTCGGACCAGCCGGGTGTGGCTCAGGGGTTGAGCGTTGACCCAGGAACCAAGAGGTCACCAGTTGGATTCCCAGTCAGGGCACATGCCCAGGTTGCGGGCTCGATCCCCAGAGTGAGGCCTGCAGGAGGGAGCCAATCAATGATTGTCTTTCATCATTGATGTTTCTGTCTCTCTTTTCCTCTCCCTTCCTCTCTTTCAAATCAATAAGATATTTTTTTAAAAAAAAGAAAGGAGCCGTAACCGGTTTGGCTCAGTGGATAGAGCGTCGGCCTGCGGACTGAAAGGTCCCAGGTTCGATTCCGGTCAAGGGCATGTACCTTGGTTGCGGGCACATCCCCAGTGGGAGGTGTGCAGGAGGCGGCTGATAGATGTTTCTCTCTCATCGATGTTTCTAACTATCTCTCTCCCTTCCTCTCTAAAAAATCAATAAAATATATATTTTTTAAAAAAGAAAGGAGCTAAATTTATTTTAAACAAATATCCTCAGATGAGGATTAACAAAAAAACAACAAAAAAGCAAAAATAAAACAAACAAAAATAAGAACTCATGTGCCAAGTTCTGTTCTAAGCATTGGGCTGAACAGGTGAACAAAAGAGATGACAGTGCCTTCCCTCAGGCCATTAGGACCAAGATAGTACACACGGGTCTTGTGGGCAATATGAAGTGAGAAACCTATGGGAACCATTTCAAAAAATTAAATAATAGTAAAAAAATTTCAGTTCTTTGTTCCATGCAGCCACATTTCAAGTGCCTAAGAGGCATTTGTGGCTGCTGCTATATTGGGCAGCTCAGATGGAGGACTTTTCCATCACCAGGAATGTTCTGTTGAATGGGCAGTCCTAGGAAAACAAGCCAGATTTATCTCCAGCCTGGGTCATCTGAGGTTTCTTGAGCCCCAACTTAAGAATTACTGGCATAAAAGGGGACATCTGTAATATTTTCAACAATAAAGATTAAAAAAAAAAGAATCGTGGACAGGTCCGCCAGCATTTGGAGGGTGGGGAAACTGAGGCACAAGCAGTGCTGGGGTCGCTCGAGGGAGAGGTGCTTCCCCTGCAGGACCGTGTTTATTAGGACCACACTTAATCTTTACGTGCACTGTCTGGCATTTCCGCCTTATTTCTAAAGCAGGTGGGGAAAAGTGATTAATAAATACCAGAGTTTGTAGGGCCTGTGCTAGACATTTGGCCTGCAGGGGTGTGGCAGCAGACAGCCACCAAGCATGGCAGGTGGCATTGTTTCATTCAAACGGGCCCAGGCAGAGCGGAGAGGACCTGATAATGTCTCTGGGTGACGCTGAGGTTGTGCTTTTTCTGCCCTGCTCCCTCAACCCCCCTCCACCCCACCTCCTTCAGCTGGGCACACTGTTAGGAAGTGGGGTCACCTGGAGACTTGTGTCCACACCCTCCTGTTGTTATGGCCTCCTGACTATAAGTGTCAGATTTTTCAAGATTACAGGGCCGTGGGATAGTTTTTCGGGGAGCAGGAGGTTGCATCTGAGGCTTTAAGAACAGGAATGAGGGCTAGCCTGCTCAGCGGTTCCATTGTGGGGTCAGTGCCTTTTACAGGAATGGTACCCACCCCCAGGCAGGGCCTCTTCCGTGACCAGAAGGGGTGGTAAATTTGCCAGAGGGGTGGTAAATTGAAGCTTCTCTCAGCCCCCTCTCTGAGCAGTGGTCTGTGATCTGTCCCCAGACTCCCCAGGCTCCTCCCGGAGGGCTGAGAATCCTGAGGCCCAGCGGGAGCAGCTCTACCAGCAGAGCCGGGCCTATGTGGCCACCAACCAGCGGCTGAGACAAGCAGGTGATGAGCTAAGACGAAGGTGTGAGGACCTTTGGCAAGCTGGCCAGGAGCTGGAGCAGGACGTCGTCCAGGTGAAGCAGGTGGCACTGTCAGGGGCCTCAACCACCTTCTTAGGCTGAACTGACCCTTGGGCTCGCCTGAGCATGCAGTCCCTGGATAGTGCACCCCATGGCCTCCTGTCACATCGACATGGGCCCCTGGGTCCCAGAAGCAGATTCTGGCCTCTCTGTTTCATGGCTAAGCCTGCCTTGGTATCCGGAGACCCCAGGGGACAGAGTCTGCCCGGTGTGTGGTTGCAGCAGGAACAGTGGAGAGTGAGGGGCACACCTGCCTCAGCCGGGCACAGGCCCGTTACCGAGGGTCAGGACAGGCTTTGTGTGTGCCACTCACCCCCAGGCTTCTCTTCTGGGGCCTGATTGCTGCCAGCCTGGACTTGGTTTGGGGCTTCAGGACCCATCCTCCTTTCCCTTCCTTTGGTAACCCTGCTTCACTGATCACCCATTAAACTGAGCCTGTCTCTATATGAACTGCAGGGCCCCAAGGATTCCAGAAGACAATGGGAGTTCTGTCCTTTCTCATTTTGGTGGCTGTGGCCACGTGAGGAGAGATTGCCCAGTAGGGCCCAGCTCTGAGATGGGGCCTCCAGTGGCGCTGAGCACCTCAATCTAAGGCATGGGCCCTAGGCTAGCACTTGTGCGACCGGTTCATGATTGGGGTGCAGGACCAACCTGATGGCTGTGGAATCCATCAGATGGGATGCTGGCCTGGGCTCCCAAGATAGGACAGGCTGGTCAGTTATTACTTGCCTGGAGCCCTCATCCAGCCACCTCCGTCCTGACAGACCAAGCTGTCATGGGTGTCCCCAATAAGTCCCTCAGATGAAATCCCCACTGCCACCAGCCTTCTGGACAGTACCTCTGTGGGCCACTCTTTTCCAGGTTTCCCCATGAGCTTAGGGAAGCATGGACAAACAAGGCAAGTTCTTGACACGGGTGACCCAGCATCTCTTTCTTCTGCCCCTGCTTAAACCTGAAAGATCCATGAAACCCTTGGGGGCACAGGCATTCAGAACATGCTAGCATGGCTCAAGCTACACTGTCCAGCACCCCCTGGCCTACCTGCTAATGTCTCAAAGTGTCCTGCTGCCCTGGGCTGGGAGGTCACCCCTCCCTGCATATCCCTGGCCTTCAGGTTGGGTCACCTGAGTCTGAGTCTAGGGGCTCCAGAGCCCTCCCTCATGCCAGGATCACAGTGAGACATTCCAGCTACCTTCTATGCGTCCACCTGTCCTGAGTGCTCTTCTTGCACAAATCCCACAGCCTGATCTGCCTCTAGCACATGGACCCAGGGCGGGCAGTCTGGATGGAAAACCCACAAAGTACTCCAGCCCCACCCACCCAGTCCTCACCCACTTGAAAATAGCTGTGGAGAGCAAGATTCAACAGCTGCATTTATTAAAGGTGCACATAAGATGCCTGGTTCTGTGCCTTCCTTCCACCAGACGATGGCTTTAGGCTGACTGGGGTGGGAGAGGGGAAACTGGGCTATATGTATTTACACATCTTGTAACACTGCAGGGACCCGGGGCACAGACTGGAGGGGCACAGAGATAGATGGGCCAAAACAACTAGGCTCTGGCTGGGACGCTATGGCCACTGGCCAGGTGACAGACTGGGGCAGAGGGAGTGAGGTAATGCTGCACCTGCAGGCATGTTGTCCCCAATTCAACATCCAGCTGGTGGTGGTTGCTCACGGTCTTGGGCTGAGGGTGCTCTGGAGGCAAACAGGGTCCCCTCAGCATTGTCAGGTGGCTGAGCAGCCCTGAGGGGATCAAGGCTTCATGGGAGATATCCTCCAGCTCAGGCCTAGAATCAATTGTCCAGTGACCACCACTCTTCTCAGGGCCCAGGGCTGCCACTGTCCTGCCCTGCGCAGTTGTGAGGTGTGGCTATGCCTCTATCACGGGAACAGAGAAGGCAAATATGGCTGCTGGACATAGATGGGGCATGACTCCTGGTGTGCTGGCTGAGGTGAAAGCTGCCCCCTTCTGAAGACAAGGGGCAGGTGGAGGGGGCAGCCAGGGAGGTCTGGGCCTCTCATCAAGTCACAGCAGCCACTCTGGCTCTAGAGGTAGCTCTGGGAGTTCTCCTCATGGCCCATGTGGGAAAACAGACAGAATGTTGAGAGCACCACCCAGGGTCTCACAGTGCATGGGTGCTTCCACCCCCAGTACCCATCACTTCAGATTCCCTATGGCTGGGCAAGCTGTGTGTGAGTCTGCATGGCCTCTCCTCCCACCAGGCCATTTTGGGAGGTAGCTGGCCCATGGTGAGTATGAGAGCAGACATCTCACAGCCCCTGCTTAAAAAGGAGTTGAGATTACCAAGTTCTGCCACTTCAGGTCAAGGATGGGGACAAGGAGTCCTGGTTTCTGAGATGCATCTGAAATATCCCCCCTTCCCCTAGTGTGTCCTAAGGGGTCAGCTATGGGCTCATGCAACATACTGCCCAGCCCTCATTGCCATGGTCCTCTGTGTGCCAGCTCGTCCTAGAAGTTTGGTCATAAAAGGAGTACTTGGTGCATCCAGCTATTCCTGCATTGTGCCTGTGGCCTTCTGAGGCAGAGCCCTGGCAATTGTCCTGGTGGACAGGGTGTTCCAGGGCTTATAATGCAACATGACACTGATGTGTTAGCAGAAGTAACACGGTGTCTGTGGAAGTTGGATCAGTGCAGCCCCCAAGAGCCCCACTGGGGGAACTGAGGACGGCCCAGTAAACACTTCTGCTCTTGGGTCAGCTCTTTCCATGGACAGGGGATAGGGAGGGACAGTGGTGCCATGAGCAGGGACAGGAGCTCCTGCACCTCCACCCAACCTCCCAGAGAAGGGACCTAAAATCTAGTCATGTTGCCAGTCTCCGCAAACAGCATCTGCTCCCCAGCCCCTCTGGGGCGGCTCTCATGTGCACTGTGGCAGACCTATGAGCCCGAGAGCAGCTACTTCTCAAAGCCAAGCTTCCCCAGGAAAGAGGTCATTGGCTGTATCTGCAGGAAGCCGAGCAGGGACCTCAGCAGTTCCCCCCGCATATGTCTACACCGGCAGGGGCCACAGAGGCCCACCAGGCTCCTTGTGCCCCTTGATCTCTGCCTCACTGACACCAACACTGAGCACCCCAGCAGCCATGGCTCTACATATCTAGCTGGTCTGGCCACAGTACTGGGGCTCTAGGCCCTGCACCTCCTCCTAGGCTAGGCGTCAGCCCCACCCCAGTCCCTGCCGACCTGTAGATCCTGGGCTTTGTGTGTCACCAAGGTGAACCATATTTGGCTGACTCTCATCCCCTTTCCACTGCACCTCACCTGCCAGTTGTTCCTGACTCCCTCCACCTACCTCCCTAGTCCCCCTTTTCCTCCTTTGGTCAAAACCAGCACCCACCCCAGCCAGGAGGGGGGACATGGGGTGGCCCCGCATCACCCAGCTATCTGCCTTTGCCCTTCTCTCCTTGCTCCTTCCAGGCTGTTCTGACAGTGTCCCCCCCTGTCCATTAGCCCCTGGCTTGGCACCTAAAATGGAGGGGCCTGTCTCTGTCAGGCTCAACTATACCCCTCCCTCAGTTCAGCAGTCATCATTAAAAATTACCCAGCTGCCCCGGTAATAATGAGCTTTGTCCTCTGATGGATGCTCGGGCCTGTGCTGGATGGCACCACCCTCTGAAGCCTGTCCCTCACCTCAAGGGGATGCTGTAATCTCTCTTGGTTCCACAGAGATGAGAGTCCTGCTGAGGCTTAAGCGCAGTTGGGCTGGGGGTCAGGAGGGTGGTCTCTGCATGTGGGCAAGGCTGGGACTTGAGGTCCAGCGTGCAACCCAATTCCTTCTCTAGTCCCCACAGCACAGAAGCGAGCATGAGATGTGAGGCCGACATGGGCCGGGGTGGGGCTCTGAGGGCAGGGACTCGGGTGAGTAGGCAGTTCCCGGGACCACCCTCAGGACAACCAGAGAGCTCTTGGCCAGAGAGGATGTTCCAGAAAACCAGTCCAGGCAACTATTCTGGGAGTTCAGCGGGCGCGGGGGCTTTCTCCACAGCTGAGTCAGTGGTGGTGGCCACTACCATGGGGCTGGGCACATAGTTGAAGGGGGGCACTCGGGCTGAGCGACTGGGGGAGCCATGCCGGCTGGCAGCAAAGCCTCCCACAGCCACTCCTAGGCCCTCATGGATGAAGGGGGCTGAGGTGGGTGCCTTGGCAGGACCAGGCTTATCCACGTCGCTGCCGAGAAGGGATGTAGGTCCGCTGTCCAGGGCCTGGGGAGGCCCCCTGCTCTCCAAGCTTGGGGATGTGCTGGAGTTGGTCTTGGTGGCCGCGAAATCCTCTGTCTGGACCACTGCATCGCTGGTCTTGCGCTGCAGGGGACTGCCTGGGCACTCTGATGAGGTGTCCATGAGTGGCAGGGCGGTAGAGGGCAATGTGCTCCGCAGGATATGTGGCACGTCCTCATCCCGGATGCGACGCCAAGTGGTGCACAGTGAGGCCACCCTGGGTAGGGGTCGGGCCTCTCCATCGCTGCTGCGGCGGGCAGGGTCAGATGCGGGACTAGGGGCAGCACCCTCTGGCTTTTGGGCCACACTGATATGGGGCAGAGAGGCATAGCGCTTGACTGCCTCAGGCTGGGTGGCCTGCTTGCGGATGGGCAGACGGGATGGGCTCTCTGAGCTAGTGCGCCTTGGTGGCCGCTCACCAGGGCCTGGCCGAGCTGTGGGGGGCTGCTGGGGAATCAGGGCCTGCGGGGAGGATGCCCGCAGTTCCTTGCAGCGGGAGGAGCAGAGGAAGACGGTGGGCAGCGTAGGCCCGCTGCGGCGGGGTGAGCCGCCCTGGGAGGTGGAGGGGGTGGCTTTGGCCGTGGACAGTTCCAGACGACGTCGGTGCAGCAGGCCTGGTGATTCCTTGATAAAGGTCAGCTGCCGCTGGAAACCCAAGCGGTTGGAGGACTCGCTGCCACTGGACTGGGCTGAGGCCATGCGCACCAGGCCCAGGCGGCCTCCTCGGGCACTTGGGCACCCCTTGGATCCCACCCGACCCCTGGAGCCTGGCTCTGGGGCTGCCCTGGCCAGGGATGGTGGCACCCGCTTGGTGGGCTTCTGCATGAAGGGGATCCGCACAGGTGACTTCTGTGTCTTGTGCTGCTTGGCTAGCAGGGCCCGCATGGGTGTCTTGGACACCAGTGAGGCCCCAGGGCTGGGCAGGGGCCCCGAAACATGGGCAGCTGGGAGTGACCTCCTGGGCAGGGGCTGAGAGGCAGGGGAGGTCTGGGAGGAGCTAGGTGAGGGGGTCTTAGTGAGGCGGGCTGGTGGCGTGGCACTCCTCTGGAGGGGGCTCAGGGCTGCAATCTCTGAGATCTTGCCAGGCCTGTGCAGGCTTCGAGACCGCTGCTGCCCAGGGCCCAGGGCTTTGGTGGGAGCTGCTGGCTGTGTGGGGCTCAGGGGTCCCATCTTCCTTGGTGTGGTGCGGGGGCCAGGGGTGCCTTTGGGCTGAGATCGGGTGGCTGGGCTGGGCATGTAGATCACTGTTCTTCCTCGAAGCATGGCTGGCATCCCAGGTGTGGTCTTCTGAGCACCACGCAGCTTCTCTGAGCCAGTGGGCAAGCAGGGGCTGCTATTGCGCTGGGCCAGGGTCACATCCCGTTTCTCTGGCCGGGTGGCACTGCTCGCCTGCCCCTTTGCTCGTGTCGGCCGCCCTTTTCTGTGCAGAGAGGGCTGTAGGGTGGAGCCCACTGACAACCCTGAACCAAAGGACAAGATAGAGTCAGACTCAGATGAGGCCTCCTGAGTGGCTGCTGCCGCGGCCTGGTGCAGCCAGGTAACAATGGAGTTGGCGCCCTCCTGGATGGCACGCCACTCGACGCTGTCCAGATCTGAGGCATGGTCTGACCCCGCTGCCTCCTCGCCATGCTCCGACGGCCCCTCTGATTGCTTGTCCAGCCGGGAATCTCGGGGCTTGCGACGTCTTGGATCTGACACCTGTGGGCAGCGCCTGGGAACGGCTGAGCCAATGCAGCGCCTTAGCATCTCCGCCTTGGCCCGAGAACTGGGATAGCCATCATGCCCACTGCCAGGGCCCCGGTCCTTGGTGACCACTGGCTCATGGGCTCGGATCTTGCCAGCCTCAGGCTCCGGCTCGCTGAGGGAGCTGGTGGAGGAACTTAGGGAGTAGCATGGTGGTGTCTCATCAGCAATGAGGCTGGGCTGGGCCCGGGTGGACATGGTGGCCTTGGGCACAGCCTGTGCCTTCTTCCTGCCAGCCAGGCCCTCCCTCTTCACTGTCTGGGAAGTAGCAGATGCCCACCGGGAGGGTGTCGCCCCCGCCGCTGTGGACAGCTCCTCATCCGAGTCGTTGCTGTAAAAGCAGTACACAGCCTCCTCAGTAGGCGTTGTGAGGCATAGGGACTGCAATGCCCCCTCCCCATGAGCTCGGCCCAAT